AGGTCGCCGACTTGGCAGGTCTGAGGCGCGTTGATGTCGCAGGGGGTGGCATCGCCACGGCCGTAAGGGTCCAGGTGAGCGCCAGTGCTGTAGCAGTTTCCGTCCTTAGGGACTGGCTTTTGATGGATGTGGTAGACTGATCATTTCAAAAATAGGTCAGTATGGATGTGTAAGTTTGCTATTAACTCAAGGTTTGAGTTTGGGTTCGGATTCGTATGGAAACTCTAAACACAAGCCCCATTTGATGGATCGATACGAAGGAGCGGGAGGAAATGGGAGTAAGCGTACCCAACTGCTGTTCATTATCGGGGATTCCCCAGAAGTGCGCCGAAACAAGGACACCCACGTCGCTGGGCCTAGGGAAGATGGTCACAGACCCGCGGACAGTGGTGTTATCCTTGGGCTGTAGCTGCGCGTAGTAGAGGACATCCTCGTTGTCAGTGACGACGGGGGCATTGGTGTTCGCCGCAGCCGTGGCGGAGAGACACAAAGCGGTTGCGAGGAGGGCGGGTTTGAATAGCATCTTTGTTTTCGCGAGCAAATTTGGCTTTCTGAGAATGCGTGAGTGAATTATCGGGTGAGAGGGTTTGAGCAGGTTTGTGAAGGATTTGCAGGTAGGTTATAAGTATATAACTAAATGCAGGAGGAGAACTGTGGTACCTGAATGAAGAAAGAACGACGATCGCGGTCAACAATGGACGAATTCGGCGAGTTGGCAGTCAGTGTCTTTGTTTTTCTGTAACCCCTCTTCCCCCTTGATTCCGGGGCCGCTTTATAAGGGACCATGCATGGCGGTGTAAGGGGACACATTGGTGAGACAATGATCCATTCACACACCGAGTGTATTGTGAATCGGTGGTTGCATCCCTTGCCATGATCCGGATTTGTTGGTTCCGGATTGGGAGGCAAAGCTGGATGCCTGGGGATTATTGGAATGTCCATGGGGGCTGTCAGAGAAACGGTTTCGGGCAGGTTACACCGGCATTGTCCTGCTATGGATTCCTTGGAGATTGAGAGTTGAACTGAGTTGCTGTCAAGGTTGTCAATGGCAAGGTTATTCTGAATGTTAGTATCCAGGCAGTCACGGGGTATCGATTTGGATCCCCTCTCTGGGCTTTTATTGAGCTCACCGATTCGACACATTCCCCTAGCACGTTTAGTAGTGTGCCTTCTTGGCTTTTCAGTATAACTCAGTTGCTTGTTTTTCGTCCTGTTCAGCATCCATTACGCCCGACTTTCTACTCATCGGATACATGTGAGCAGTCAAGACTACTAAGCATGGGGCGAGTAGGTAGTCTGAGTGAAGCAAGCTCTGACGAGCAAGTCTGGATGCCTTGAGAGTAAGAGCAACAATGCCTTGGATTTCCAAGCAGGAATGTATCTCAGCTAGTTCCGTGGCATGATTGCTACCCCTAGACATGCCACAGTTCATGGCTTGACTGATTTTCTCTCATTTGGCAAATGTTTATTCACAGCGTTCTAGAGTGTGTCTTGTGGATGGCCTCTGACAGACTAAAATGACTGGCGGGAAGTCTACTTGTCATATTAGAAACTAAACCAAACCAGCATATTCGAGACCGTATACTACTTACCATTATTGGTGGATATTGTAGCGAAGGCACCAAGGTGTCAGGTTCGAAAATCATCCTAGAAGCTATTTGCCATATATATATTTCACCCGCACAGCCATCAACAGGGTGTCCACTTTATGTTGCTGAGTTTGGGTGCCTTTCCACTCCCAACAAGCAAAAACATGGAATAGATAGTATCTTTCATCAGATGGAGATGAGAGGCATCAACACTCTGCGGGGTAAGTGTGCCGAGAGATCCTGGGCTTATCAGGATAACTTCCCAATTTGGGCAATTTAGGCGCTGGATCATCGCCAGGCCCAGACTAGAACTTCCCCCCTCCATCCCATCATCGGTTGAATTTATTGATGAATGATCGACGGCCACGATGGAATCCTATCAGTGACAACTGACAGCTGCTGCTGCTGCTCAACACTCCACTCGAGACTGCCACGAATAACGTCCATAGACGAGAAATGAGTGGGACTCGCCTCGAGGTCCCCATATGATCCATCATCCCCGGACTTCTTTGCGGTCCACTGCGTCCCATCGGAGCATGTCCATCTGCTAATTCTCCGAGCGGGTTCCGCTCCCCCTCGTCAGCTGTGTTCAACAATGGAACTATGGGTCCAATGTGGAGAGCTCGGGGTATTTATACAACGAGGGGCTCGTAGACTTCAACTTGGCCCTCCCGCCCCAGCCGCTCCATCTCTCGACAACATCTACGAAGATACAGTGACATTGGATTACTCCCCGTCATGTCTCTTGCTCAAAGCAACTACGTGATCCAGCTCCCCAAAACACCATCCTCTATCGGTCCGCTAGATCCTCGAGCTATTGCCCAGCGATGGATCACCGATCTGGAGGTTCTTCTCGCCACTGGGAACTATTCCCAGCTAGGAAGAGTCTTCCATGAGGACTCCTGGTGGAGGGACATGCTCGCATTGGTCTGGGACTTTCGTACCATCCAGGGATGCGCGAAGATCCAAGACTTCCTGGCTGCTAATCAGCCTCGCGCGGGTCTTTCTGCTCTGCGTCTGCAGCATGAGGGCAAATTCCAGCCTAGGATGGAAAGCCCCGCGGAGGGGCTGAACTGGATAAACTCCATCATCTTCTTCGAGACTAGTGTGGGGCGTGGCTCCGGGGTCATTCATCTGACGCAGAACGACGCAGGAGAGTGGAAGGCATATGCGATGTATACAACTCTGCAAGAATTGAAGGAATTTGAGGAGCCATTGGGCATCAGAAGAGCATACGGCACTATCGAGACAATGCCTGGTGGACTCAACCAGGGCAACTGGCTCGAGCGACGCCAGAGGACAGTTGAATTCAAGGAAGAGGAGCCTACGACCCTCATTGTTGGAGCCGGTACGCAGACCCCGCCTTTAGTGCAATAGAAATAAGCTAATTAGTCTTTTAGGCCAGGCAGGTCTCAACATGGGCGCTCGGCTCAATTCTCTCGGGATATCGCATCTCATCGTCGACCGGAATGAACGTATCGGAGATAATTGGCGGAAGCGCTATAGGGTGAGCTACGCTTGCTATACACATATTCTGACTCGCCATCTGACCTGTCCTCATAGACCCTCGTAACCCATGACCCTGCAGAATTCACCCATATGGCATACCTTCCCTTCCCGAAGAACTGGCCGCAATTTACCCCCAAAGACAAACTAGCCGACTGGTTTGAGGCTTATGCTATGATTATGGAACTGAATGTTTGGGTTCACACATCCATCAAATCTGCCGACTACGACGATGCCCAGAAGCAGTGGACTGTGGTGGTCGTCCGCGGCGATGGGAGCGAGCGTACACTGCGCCCACGCCACCTGATCTGGTGCACGGGGCACTCAGGAGAACCCTTGGTTCCCAGCTTCGAAAACCAGTCGCAGTTCAAGGGCACAGTATACCACGGCAGCCAGCACACAGATGCATCCCACTACGACGTAGCAGGCAAAAAGGTCGTCGTGGTCGGCACGGGAAACAGCGGCCATGATATCGCGCAGAACTATTGCGAGAATGGCGCGCAGGTAACTATGCTGCAACGGCGCGGGACCTATGTCATTACTGTTGAGAAGGGTATCTTCATGATGCATGAGGGTCAACACGAAGATCACGGGTACGTCTTATCCCTGTCTTGAACCCGCACGCCTCTAACTCTTGCAGACCTCCTACTGAAGAAGCCGACCTGCTGCATGAATGTCTTCCGTTCCCTGTCCAATTTGCTCTGGGCGAGCATTTCACCCGACGCGTGGCGCACGCCGAGCAAGATCTCCTCAGTGGCCTTGAAAAGGCTGGTTTTGCACTGGACTTTGGCGTCAACGGTGCTGGTCTTGGGCGTGCATATATGACTCGCGGCGGTGGATACTACATTGATGTCGGCTGCAGCCCGCTCATCGCCTCGGGCAAGATCAAGGTTAAGCGTAGTCCAGAGGGAATCTCTCATTTTACGGAATCCGGACTTGTTTTGAAGGACGGGTCAGCCTTGTCCGCCGATGTCGTGGTCCTCGCAACTGGTTACGACAATATGCGCACGACGGTACGGAAAGTACTAGGTGACCGTGTTGCGGACCGATGTCGAGATGTCTGGGATCTAGACGAGGAGGGAGAAATCAACGCAGTACGTACTTCTTCCCGCTTGCTTCAACTTTATCATCACTAACAAGCACTTTCTATAGATGTGGCGCCCCAGCGGACACCCCGGCTTCTGGTACATGGGCGGAAATCTTGCCTTGTGCCGGATCTATTCCAAGTTCCTGGCTCTGCAGATCAAGGCTATTGAAGCTGGCTTGGTGAGTGATGAGCAGATACAGGCGCAGGCTAAACTGTGAGTTGGTAAGTGGGCGAGCGATTGTCTCGGTTATGAGAATCTACCAGCTGCGGATAGAGCGAAGGCAAATTTGGAATTAGCGTTCTGGTTTTAGAATTAGATATTCAGTAGAGCATAGTGAACTATGATACTCTCTAGTACGTTAACGGAGTATGGGAAGCATTCTATCCTCGGTAGCCATAATATGTCTACGTAACGAATCTGTCTGTGTTGTAAAGTATACCTCCACCTGTTAAAAGATCAGAATTACTTCGAAATCAATCAAGCATACTATAACTAGTAATACCTGAGAGATTATGACTGGCCAATCACAGACTAACTCTGTACGGAGTAAGTACTAGACCTCCCAATTATAATGTTCACAACGGCCCGCACAACCACCAATTATGCACCTGACTCAGCAAATGCAAATTAGGGCAGCGCTAAACCCAAAGCCGCTAGACCCATCCACACACAAAGCGGAGTCGTAACGGATTTTCTCACGGCCCTCCAAGCGCGGCGCCCGGCCTGATTTTCTTCCCTCTTTTGATCTTTTGACCCGATATTCAGCGCAGAGCCACACCATAAGGATTTCAAGTTCTTTTGGAAGACTGTCAGCACCATGTCTAAGATCACAGTCGGTATGTTACATCTTTATCCCAGCAACGGCAACACTATGTATATGTGTATGATGAAGGATGCTAATGATTCGTGAACAGCCGGAGTGCGCCAGAACATCGAGCAGCTGCTCAACTACTCTCAGAATGAGAAGAAGAGGAACTTCCTCGAGACCGTCGAGCTTCAGATCGGTCTGAAGAACTACGACCCCCAGCGTGACAAGCGTTTCTCTGGTACCATCAAGCTGCCTACCGTTCCCCGTCCCAACATGACCATCTGGTATGACCACCACTACCACCACCTGAACAACATTTCGAAGGAATAAGGACAGGAGACTGATGAAAGGATAGTGTTCTTGGTGACCAGCACGATCTCGACCGTGCCAAGCACCACGGCATTGACGCCATGTCCGCCGACGACCTGAAGAAGCTGAACAAGAACAAGAAGCTCATCAAGAAGCTTGCTCGCAAGTACGATGCTTTCCTTGCTTCCGACACCCTCATCAAGCAGATTCCCCGTCTCTTGGGTCCTGGTCTTTCCAAGGGTGAGTTTTTCCCTCCATACCTCACTCACAGGGGTATCGTGCTAATAAATGAATAGCCGGTAAATTCCCTACCCCCGTCTCTCACGCCGAGGACATGGCCAACAAGGTCAACGAGATCAAGTCTACCATCAAGTTCCAGCTTAAGAAGGTTCTCTGCCTCGGTGTTGCCGTCGGCAACGTTGGTATGACTGAGGACGAGCTGGTCGCTAACACCATGCTCGCCATCAACTACCTTGTCTCCCTGCTTAAGAAGGGTTGGCAGAACGTTGGTAGCCTTGTCCTCAAGGCTACCATGTCTCCCCCTAAGCGTCTGTACTAAGCGGGTCGCTTTTCTCTTTTCTTTATGAATAAAAAGGAAAAAGTTTATGTGTCACGCTGGGGGTACGACACCCTTTTTTTAGGGACTGGGACGCTGGGGTTGTGTTTCGTATCATAGTTTAGCTACTTATGGTGTGGGTTATAAATGTGATCCCGGGATTTGGTCTCTATTTGTGTCTTTCTTCTTATAAGTTGGAGGTGGTGTGGTGTAGGTTTCTATTGTAGACAGTATTATGGTACAGTAGATACATAGGGAGTATAGTATAGTATAGTATCATTGCATTCCAGGCATCAACTCCGTCCGGTCCAGAATCATTCCCCTCATGCCGATGAATTCTCGGAGACTCTCCCACTCCTCGCCTTCCTCTTCACCTCGCATGTAGATATCCTTGAACCCCCATGCAAGTGCAACCTTGTCGAAGGCAGCCCGCTCCTCTTCACGGGCCCAACGGTGTCGCAGTGGCACACCCGGTTGCCAAGTCACCCGCTCCATCTGGTCATTCGCCGTCGTGATGGCCAGAATTCCAACCGACGTGACTCCCCCCATGTATGCCAGGCCCGCTGCGAAAGCGATACCAGTCGCTGTGCTCGGATCCATAGTGTTCTGCAGCGTCGAGGCCCACGAAGCAAGGGTATAGCAAGCCGCAGGCGCAGCAGCGATTCCACCCAACGGAACAGCTGCCCTCTTGAAGACCTTGGCACGACGGAACGCCGGGGTGCTATAGGTGGTGTCGATGATGGCCAACACTAGCGAGAGGTTGCGCTGGGCGATAGCGACATCGAGAGCCATGTCCGCGAGCTCGACGGGCACAGCACTGTTGATACTCTTAGGTTTGGCCTTGTGGTATCGGACAGGGGAGCTGTTCTCCTCGGGGACTGGTTTGTTGGCGTATAGATGGAAGATCTCCGGGAAGTGGTCGGGCCGTTTGAGCATAGCGTGGATCTTGGTGTAACAGGTCAGGGCTTCGGGGGAGATGAACACTTTCTCGTCTGTCAAGAGGTCATGGACGGATTTGCAGAGCTGATCAATGATCTGTTCGGGGGTCTTTCGGGGCAGTGTGGTGGTGGTTTGCTGCTTTTGTTTCCGGGTAGCGGCGTTCTTCCCTTCCTCTAGGTCTAGGAGGGATGAAATCTCGTCTGGCTGTTGGCTCTTGCCGGTGTCCTGCTCCGGATGGACCATAACTTCAGCAATTCGTTGGCATTTTTGTAGCAGTTGCACGACCTTGTCGTTGGGGGGCACAGAGTCCGTTTCGCTGAGTTCGGCACATTCGTGGGCGATCTGGTCCACGGCTTCTTCAAAGTCCGCTGGTGTAAGGTGGCCGGATTTGGTAGATTCAAGCCTCCTAGGGGTAGGAGCGTATGTAGTCGAAGTCAAGAAGCTTTTCGGGCTTCTCTGAGGTCGCAATTGGCCTGGGCGCGCATTCCGGGTCAACGGACTGGATGCATAGGATCGTACGGATTGATGAATGGGCGCGGGAGGTGCGGATAATTGGCAGATCTGGCTGGCTAGAGCTTGCGGCCGAGAGCTCTTGTGGCCCCTGAGGGCAATGCCTCTTGTCGGGAGCATGGTTGTTGCTGTTATTGTGGTAGTGGTGGTGAGGGAAAACTAGATGGGCCAGAGAGAAAGACGGGGAGATGCGCAAGGCGGCGAGGGCACCAACTGAATTACTGCCGCCACCAAAAGCGGGTCTCCAGGAACGGCTGTCTGGCGTTCATCGACCTGACGTCCCTCTGGAACTCTCCTGCTTCTCCTCCATCAGCAACGCCCCGTAGGCAGCTGCTTTCTTTCAACACCACCCTCTCTCTGGCAACAGCAGGCCTCAAATGATCCAGCCAGCCCCGGCAGATTAGATCCCTTCGTGATCGTCTACCCACACATTACGCCCTTCCGATTGCAAGCGTCATACCTCATCGTCTACCAACATCATGCCTCCCCCTCCGCCGCCGCCGCCGCCGCCCGGAGGGATGGGAGGTCCTCCCCCGCCTCCTCCCCCCGCGGGGAATCTGCCCAGCAGACCCTCTGGCTCAGAAGCTAAGGGCCGGGTAAGAATGTCTTGTCTGCTAGTCTAGGCAAGTTATCGACTGCTAATGCCTTGTATAGGGCGCACTGCTTTCCGATATCCACAAAGGCGCAAGGTTGAAGAAGACCGTGACCAACGACAGGTCGGCGCCCATGGTCAGTGGTGGAGGAGCGAAGTCTTCCGGTCCTGCAATTCCAAGTGCTCCGCCAGTTCCGGGCATGGCGAAGCCTCCGACAGGGCTTGCACCACCCGTCCCTCCGGCACAGGCAGCGAACAGGCTACGAAGCAACAGCGATACTGGTTCAGGGGGTGATGCAGTGGCGGGTGCCCCGGCGGCGCCTCAACTTGGAGGCCTCTTCGCTGGAGGCATGCCTAAGTTGCGCAGTCGGGGAGGTGTTGACACTGGAGCTAATCGGGACTCGCCATATCGATCAGATACGGATGGTTCGCGGAGCGCTCCCCCGCCCCCTGCTATGTCCGCCCCCAAACCGCCAGGTGCTCGACCTCCACCACGCCCTCCTGCAACAGAGTCGCCTCCTACTCCTCCAGTGAACCCGTTGGTTGCAAACCTCCGGAAACCACCCCCGCGACCGGCTTCCAGGCCGTCATCGACGGTTTCAACTGCGTCCAGCAGATCCGCCCCTGACGCTCCCCCGCGCGCACCGCCACCATTGCCCGGCTCCGCCAAAGGCCCGCCGCCGCCTCCAGTATCTACAAGAAAACCCTCTGCACCTGCACCTCCTCCACCTCCACCTCCCTCAGCTAGTCCAGCTGCACCTCCGCCACCGCCTCCGGCGGCTGCTCCCCGACCTCCCCCGGCGCCGGCACGCTCTACACCTCCTCCCCCTCCTCCTCCCGGCGCGTCTGCTCCACAGCCGCCTAACGGCACAGCTGCTGCGTCTATCGCCGTACAAGCTGCCAGAAATGCTCTCGGACATGCGCCACCACCACCTCCCCCACCAGCGGCCTCGGCCCCATCAGCCCCCCCTCCGCCCCCTCCCAGTGCTCCTCCCAGCGAGCCACCGTCGCGGCCATCACCTCTGCCGTCGAGCATAGCACCTCCTCCACCTCATCAACCAGACCGTTCTACCCTGGACCCGAGCGCCTATACCCTCAGCAACGGCGGGCCGTCACCGGGATCAAGCCCTCGCAGTCCAGGCGGACATGGCATCATGCGGGTGGACGATCATCGGTTCAAGTTCCAGAGCGAAGGCTTATTGCCCAAGCCTCGACCATTTGTGGGAGGCACCAGGCGCTATCGGGCTGGACGAGGCAGCAGTGTGCCATTGGATCTGAGCGCATTGATTGGGTAAGGGAAGTGTTGCGGCGAGACGCGTGGTAGATTAGTATCTTTCTCCAGACTTGTGGATTTGCTTAGCAATTCGCATATTGTTAGTGATCGTAGGGTGTTTTACGGAATGAAGATTGGTCTTCAGGTCAATCGCATCACAACCTGCACGCTCTGTACGTAGTATATGACATTACACCAATCTGTACCAGCTGAACTTCTGGACCAGATAATACATAGTGAAACAATCAAAGCTCCTTATCTGATCAATCAATTAAACGTGATCGCCAATGCGCAGCACGGGACAGCTCCCATCACGTGATCAGTGGGCGCCGCATGGAAGCTGTGAGGATCCGGAGAAGCACGCCGCTGCAGTCACAACATCCCAGGCCAGACCTCGCTGCTGTTTCTCCTTCCCCCCGATTTACCTTGTCCCTCCCGATTAGCGCGTCCTTTACACGACTCTCCTAATTTGTACAGAACAGCTGGCCGAGTTCGGAGCTTAGTGAACAGATTCCCCTCCAGCTTAACGATCGGAACGCGGCGACGAAGTATTTGCTGCCAGTCAAGCTACTAGCTTCAAACCTTGTGCAAACAGAGTGCATTCGACTTTGTTACGGAACTGTGGTTATTCTCCGGATCGTCTTTTCTACGACTCGCCTGGGTTAGGTGACCTTCAGTGGTGGTGCATTTTTTGCTACCTGATTGTTTTTCCGCTCGGGATATTGGTGCTTCAAATAGTACTTTACTCTCGCACATCTGATCATCATGTCGCTTCACTCTTATATCAACAGTAAGTGATTGGTTCCCATGGGCTCTACTGCATATTTGGTATTCAGTCTCTTGGTCAGTGCTAACGCAGTTATTTCGCCCGGTGTATAGAGAAAGTATGCATTTTGACGGTTGACGGCCGCACACTGCTGGGAACATTACTCTCCACCGACCAGCTAACGAACCTGGTTCTCCTGGATACGATCGAGCGAATCATCCGCACCCCCGACGACCCGGAACCCAGCTCCCAGATTGAGCATGGGCTGTATCTGATCCGAGGCGACAACGTCGTATTATGCGGAGAGGTTGACGAAGCCATTGACAACGACATCGACTGGACGAAGGTCAGGGGAGAAGTGGTCAAAGGCACCAAGAACGCATGAAACAGCGGGGAAGTGATGTTTCGATGATTATTTACATGACAAGGGATTTTTTTTTTCTTTTGCAGCAAGAAGAAAGGAAAAAGGATGAGCGTTTTAAGTGTACGATGGAGAAGTGGACAAGAGTTTCAGCGTAACATTGGTGGCTAGTGCGTATATGGGTCAGGCGGACCCCCCTCCTTCTCTTTGTGGTGGTCTTTTCGTTCGTCAATTAAGGGGAGGGAGGGAGTAAGCGCGTGCCAGTGTCAGTGTGCCGACCAGGGGGGAATGTTGTTATGAAGGCGAAAGAGAGAAAGCTACTACGCGCGCGACAGATTTACAGGAGGGGCTTGGTCGGTACCAGATGATCCGTGGACATGATCGGTGCGTCGTCGGGCGGGGATTCCTTTTCTCGTGAGATGAGAAAGAGAGAGAAAGCTACAAGTGGGACGCGCATGGGCTCAAAAGGGCGCTCATCTGATGTGATGTCGGGGCCAAGTTTAGCGGCTCGACGGGAGTTCTTGCGTTTGGGAATTGCATGGAATCAAGGAAAGGAATAAAAAAGGAAGTTTGAGATTGTCAAAACAAGGCATTGGGATGGCTGAAGGAATGGGAGATAGGAGAGAAGAGGGGGGGGGCGATGATACTACTACTAGTAGTAGTAAGTATCCAACACTCCTGCGCGGCAGGGTTCCATTGGTCGGCAGTTTCATTGGGTGTTGGGGGAAAGCAGCCGATGTGATTGAGGGCGCGGGATGTTCAGGGCAGCGGTTAATATGGATATGCAAGGTGATCAGCCCTGGATAGGGACCGCAGGGGGGGGGTGATGGTTGTGGAGGGAGAGGGGAAAGGGAAAAGGACATAAGTTGACCATTTAACCATAATAATATCATAATCAATATGAAGAAGAAGCAAAGTTACTCATCACCTGATCTGATAATAATAATAATCAATATAATGCCTTGTGGCCATGTTGCATTGCATGCACCAAGTAATCTGTAGTAGTAACTAATAGCCATGCAGCAAGTGGCACATACATCATACATACAGTACCAAGCAGGCAGCATCTCTACTATCTATGTAGTATGCATTGTCTTGTGCTATTCTTATACCTCAAACATTTATTTAGATACAATTACTTATGCCACCGCAGACTGCATTGCACTGCCCTGTGCACAGCTAGTAAGTAATTGACTAAAAAGAATCCATCCGGGTGAACAACGCAAACGCGTCCCAGACTCCATCATCCAGTTCGGTTACGATGATGAGATTGATTAGTGATATACCAAGTACGTATTATTCATTCAGGGAGGATCTGACGCTGGCCGTTTTCGGATTTACGTTTTGTGGTTTGGGCCTGTCCCAGGTTTTCCAGGGGCTCGTCCCAAGTGGTTGGAGATTTAGTTTAGCTTTAGTTTTGGTTTTAGTTTTCCCCCTCGTGAGATTTACCCATTTATTATCATTATTATTATTATTTCTGCCTTCCAATTTATTTTAGTTTATTATGGGGAGTGCGTCTCATCTTTGCAGGTGGAGAGAGAGAGTATATCGTATGTATGAGAATTTTCCCAGCCCAGGGACTTCCTCAACAATACAACCACCACATGAATCTAATTAACAATCTAATTATCATGAATTGAATAAATAATAAATGAATTCAAAGAATGCGAAAATAAATCTAAATGTGACAGCCTGCCCCGTTTTCTCTGCCGCCCGCCCCGCCCGTGCCAAGTGCGGCCCAAAACCCGACCGTTCAAAGTTGAAGTTGCAGTTCAGTTCTCAGTTCAGTTCAATTCCCCTGATCCTCTCTTTCTGTCTCCCTCTCTGTGGCTGTTACCTGCTCGGCGTCCCATCCTCTCCTCTCCTCCTCTCCTTCCCCCCCGTACTATCCTCCCTCCCTCCCTCCCTCCCTCCCTCTCTCCCTCTTACTACACTCTGACTCCTCTTCCTTCCCTCTCCTTTGCTTCCTATTCTCTCCCTCTTCCCTCCTCTCTCCTCTTTCTCCGCTTGTTCTGTTCTTATTCTTCTGCTTCTGCTTCTGCTTCATTTCTTTGTCATCACCTCTTCTGCTTCCACCAACATTCCTCCAGACCGCTTCAACTCAACTCTGCAACAAATTCCCCTCCTCCTCCTCCTCCCCCATTATCTGACGCCAATCTTCCTCCGGTCGCTGGGCGACCGCCACTTCCTACTGCCTCTCCGCTATCAACTATACTGTGCCCTCCTTCCCCCTCCGGTTCCGAGCGCGCCCTTCATGTTGTTGCGACCGTCCCAACACTCTTGTCTATACCCCGGGGTCAATTGGTCTTTCTAAGCGCTAGGATTTCCCTCTTCTTCCCGCTGGCATCGTTGGGCTAGTCCGTGGTAGCCCGACTTCCTTCCCTATCTCCCTCTCTCCCTCCCTCCCTCCCATCACCTTCTCGATCTCTCCCTCTCCCTCCTACTCCTCCCTTACTCTCCTCCCCAACCTCCCTCGTCCGATTCTGGTGGCCAGGCCAGAATGTGGCTCTACCGTGGCGTCCAGTCCGCTGTATTCTACTACGCCACCTGCACCCCCTGTGCCAACACCCTAGACCGCCACAAGCGCAAAAAGGAAGCCGTTCGATCGCAACGCGAAAAGGATAGGATAGATGCTACTGTCACCGACCAACCGAGACCTTTAGCACAACCCACTGCCTTTAGTACCAACCCAGGATGGGCCGAGGAAATCGCTCTCGGTCCCGGTCCTCCCGCTAGACGAGGTGGTCACCGCAACGCCCATCGCCGAACCGACTCTTGGAATACCGGCATATCGGCGGACTCCACACAGGATGTGAGCCGCGGGGGCAATTCGGCAAACAAGAAGGATAAGAGCAGTTTGAAGCATCCGTTGGGCGATCGGTGGAGCCGCATGCGAAATCAGCGCGAGGACGAGCCGTTATGGGGCCAGGATGTGGAGGTAAAGGGTTCCTCCGTCGGCCTCTCAGGTCGCGGTAAAGCAGATGCTGGCTCCTCCAGCAAATACTACATTGCTCGTGTGCCCCCAGTCAACGACCTTCATCCTCCAATCGTTAGTGGACCCAAGAGCCGCGCCGAAACACGATGGATGCTACAACCCCCGCCCAGTGCTCGAGTGATGGCTGGCAAAGAGCGTTCTGGCGATACTGTCCGCAACAATGACACTAGTGGACAACGCGTAGACGGTGACCGAAATGTCAACAAGCCCGTCACTCCTGCCCAGCAGCTCCCTCCCATAGCCACCCAACCTGCCGAAAAGAAGAATGCCCATAAGCCTTCCCCGCTTCGCATGGCCCCCGACGGCTGGTACGATCCAAGAGCCGTGGAGGACGATTCAGAAGGAGACGACGAATTCTCCCCGCCCTCATCGCCCAGAATGATGTTCGGACGTGATCAGGCCAACTTCGTAATCTCCCCATCATTCCGCTCACGCTCGGATTCATGTTCTACTCTGTCATCACCTGGCGATACCGAAGTGGAGTCTCCGCGGGTCTCCTTGCATCAGCCCGGGACCCCGACGTCACGACCTGTCTCCAAAGCAACTCAAGATAGCGGTAAACATTTCCCTCCAACGATCTCACAAGCCCTATCTACCTTGCAACGTGACAACAACAAGGTTCAATTGTTGCATTTGGAAATCAATGACTCGCCTGACGATATCGGATTAGGTCATCTTGAACGTCTCCGACCCTGGCGTTGGAGTATGGATATATGACCCTAAAGATCTGTCCGCCTATCCGCATATCGCCCAGGTCACTTGCCTGAGGGCGTGTCATATTTCCTCCGTTTTCGTGCATTGTTGAATCATGGAAGCCTGCTTTGCTCTTTTCTTTTTCTCGTGTTGCTCTTTGGGTAGCAGAAATACCCCCTCTTCTGTTGGATTCCTCTTCTGTTGGTTTGTTTTTGTGTATGTTTCGGCGTTGGCAGCAGCTAAAAAGCGTTCCGTTTTGATGCCCCTTGACCCGTTCCATGGCAGATATATTTCTCATTGCATCATACTGAACAGCATGGGAGTTCCCTAACGTGTGTATGCATGGCTGGGCCAACAAACACATAATCCTTCATCCACTCCCTCCTACATCGGGCCATGAAAGACTGTTCACATCATCATCCAACTGAATCACTATCCTTTTTTGACTCGCTGCATACGCATTCTGCATCATTGCTACTCTTGCTTGGTTTTGACTATTGTGTGTGTGATGTTCCCGATTCCTCTGCGCAGAGTACTATCCCTAGTCTGTTTTCTCTTTTCCTATATCTTTGCTTGCTTTGCTTTGAGCCGAATTGTCGTGTCTGATCTGTCTGTCCTTGCTTTTGCTCTCTTCCTGACTTCGTTCGCTCTCTTGTTCTCCGAACTTTACCTTTACCCTTCATGTATACTACTTTGTTTTAATACATATACTTAGTATTTAGATCGTTCTGTATAGAGCTGAATGTCTGTTATGGTGTAGCGTAGAACCCATCAAAATGCACGTGTAGTATAGAATACCCTCATATATAGTATACATTTAAATGGCATAGTGAGTATGCTCACGACTAAATAGAATACCCGATTAGGAAGGAAGTACGTCAATCCTGAATCAGCCATAGATGTTAACCTACTGTAATCACTTACCTAAAATAGAAAGAACGTGTTCAGATCAGTGAACATACCCCACATACATACATAAACAAAGCAGTCTAGGCAGCACCTCCAGCACTGTCTTAAGACTTTATAACTACAATACTTAGAACCCGCCAGAAAACAAATACATTGTATCAGATGATAATACAGGAATAAAATTAAATAATTATCTTATTTGAATAATAATATAATGTAGATATAATCCTTTAATAGTTATCATTTAAATCAAATAATATATAATTATTTCATATATCATTTTTTTTTTTTTTTTACTAAGTGCTTGAAGGCATGCAGATCCAAGTTTAGATGGTAAATAAGAGGCTGGCTACAAGTTAATATAGTCGTTTACTGCTATCTGAGCGCGTAAAAGGAACCAGCATTCCAATTCAAAACCACATCATGC